TTTGGATTTCCATCTGGTCATATATAGAACAACTGGTCAGAACTTGTAAAGAAGCCGAGCGATGTGTAACTTCACTCAGCTCCTCATTTGGARTACCTGTAGAAGCAGCTACTTGTGTGTATAAACTATATATGAGCTACACTCTGTGCCTCGAGCAGGGCTGCATTAGGGGATACGACTAGCAGCTCTTCATGTGGAGCACAGCTCTGTGCGTGGTATTTAGCTGAAAATGATCCATTCCCAGAAWCAGTGTGTTAAATTAACAAGCTGCACAGCTTCGACGAGCAGCTGGTCTGATCTTATTGACCACGTGAATGTGCAACCGACAGTCATTCATTCTTCCAGCTCCGCCATTAACGAGAAGAGAAAAAGGTTTTGTAAGAAAACGTTCACAAATTGGAAACCCCAYTCACTGTGCAGATAACCAGGTTTAATTTTCAGTTGAAAAGATTCATCCTTCAGATCTAAAAACTCCATTCATGCTCAGAGTTATTGTCTGTGAGTGACCCTGAACCTAATCAGCACCAAACAAAAACAACAGCTCTTCTCTACTGCTTCTGCTGCTGGTTACTTAAGCTTACCTGTCCCACATAAATCATAATATTTGATAGAACACACTGGTCACACRCCTGGGGGGCTGTACCTTTTATGTCAGCACTGTTATACCAAAAATCTTAAACAAGTCTTTGTTTATCCTGATGAAGAGGGARGCATTAAGTAGAAACATGCTGAATCTTTTCCTCTTCAAAGTAAATGACTACAACTGATGTAAGACTGTCTAAACCTCAGTTACTCAGTAACAAATTAACAAATTTCCTAAACCGTCCTTTGACATTTCACCCGACACARTGATTCAACATTGAATGAAAACAACTAGCTATCATGTTGTTGTTTAAATGTTTAGTTATGAGCTGTYCTATGGGTGGACAAAGGGAGAAATTATAATTTAGCCACGGCCACGTCTTTCTTTAGTTCGTTTATATTCAGACAGAAAAAGATGTACAAACCAAGAGTCTCCAGTTAAGCTGAGCTTTCTTTCAGATMAAATCAAGCTTAACTGGAGAGAGGGAGCCTTGTGCTGTGAGGAGTCACTGACACTATCACACTGCAGGCAAATACAATCTATTTCAGATTTTTTCATTGCAGTGTAAACAGCCCATTTCTGATCTTTTCACCCAAAATAAAATCAAATTTTTGCCAATTCAACATGTGGTACTGATTTGAATACGTATCTGGGGTCGCATTTATAAAGCTTGCTTATGCACAAAGCAGGCCCAGAAAGGTGCGTACGCCACTTTTCACACAAAGGTTCTGATTTATAAAACCCAAACTTGGCATGAAAATGTGCGGTCCCTCACGCCAGCTCTGACCCATGTGCGTTCATTTTGTCTGCTGCAGATAACAAGCAGAGCAGGAGGAAAGGACGGGACAGAAGAGTGGTGAACTTATTTCTAGAGGCATAACGGTTGGGGCAATGGTTGGGTTTTTCATTTTATATGTTTTTTTAACGTCCTACAGGCTCTGAGAGAAAATAAATGAGGCTCAGTTTTTGAAAAAAAATCCGTGAGCTTACGCTAAACGTCTGTAAACCTGCAAAATGAGGGAAAATCTGTGTCAATTACAATTTATTGATGTGAGAAGTCCTCAGCAGCCATCCTCCTCCAGACGAACGACGGAGTGCATGCCTGAGCAAATCGCTTTTGTTGGCATTGATCATCTGACTGATTTAAATACATCTTAACATTCATGAGGCACTTTACATTGACTGTTTATGGTTGAGTGTGGGCGTGTAGAGGGCAGAGCCTGAGGCGGGACCTGAGGTGCAGCTGTGATCTATAAAGGAAAATGACTTGAAGTTATGCGTTTGCACGGTTTTGTAAATCTGAAATTTTTTTTTTTTGGCATACGCCATTTTCGCCTTCTGGCCACACGTTCACTTTTATATGAATTCTATGCAATCCTTTATAAATGAGGCCCCTGATGTTTTTCAAAGTGACCTCAGTCTGATAATAATAATAAACTAAATCAGAAATTTAAATCAGAATACACA